GTATGGCGAGCTGCGTCGAACGGCGCAAGGACGACGGTTCTAGCTTATACACTTTTTGAGGAAAGCTCAAATTACTGTGTCAAAATTGTCACAGCGTCACGCTTGGACAAGCCGCTTACGGCACCTTTTTTACTAACCTTAATCGGCACTACGTGCTGCTGTTCTCGCCTTTTGTAGATGTCTGTAAAGGAAGCTGTTTACAACGTACTTAGTAGAATAGTTTAACTGGTTACCCAAGAACGTCAATATTCTGACATTCAAAAATGTTGTCTGTATATCTAATAGAAGAAATAGTTGTGTGAATAAACTGCTAAAGGAAGCACAAACGTTATGTGTCTAGCTATGAAGAAAAGTTCTTAAAACTCTCTTAGATACCAATAAACATTAGTCTCCATTCTACACATCGAAAGTTTATACGTACTGCTCCTAGCAGTTCTTTATTGTTTCTTTTTGTCGACTAATATGCTCGACAGCAATGTATATAATAAGAAAAATATATAAATTTTTGTTCGATTTATATTTTAACAAACATCCACCACGTGGTCAATATACTAGTAACTAACATAAAGATTTTAACAACTTGAAATACAAGAAGGAAAAAAGATACGTTGCGGAAATAAGAAAGACAAACATTGTACAGTAAATGAACATCAATGTTGAAATATAAGTTTACCGGCTTGAATAGTGCTTGTATAAAATGATGATATGAAGAAAAACAGTTATCTTCATTATTTTACTGGAGGAATAACTTCACAATGAGAATCAGTTAAATGGTGTTTTGTTGGGCCATTAATACATTTTCCATAACGATCAAATCGTGAACCATGTAATGGACTAGAAAAACAAAATAATTAAGACATAAAAAAAAGAAGAAAAAAATTTTTCAATATTTACCAATCAAAAGTTTTTTCCAGTGGATTATATCTGACAATTCCTTTCAAATGTGGACTAGAAAAGAAATGATAAATACATTTTATTTAAAAAAAACATAACATATATTTATTTTTACCTACCAAATAGCTGAAAATTTGTATACTGTACCGTCATTATCTCTATAAACGGCATGTTTAGTCATACCACTTCTCATTATACATCCTTCACCACGAGCTAATTCTTCAATATCACTAATTTCACCCGCTGTAACATAATCTTTGAATGCAACTTGTATTTCTAAGATGACAAAAAAAAAAAAAAAAATGAAATAAATAAATTAAGAAACCTGAGAAAATAAATTTTATCTTACCAGCATTATGTCTAAGAAATTCTAATGGTGCTTTCACCATTTGACGAGAAGGATCATAAATATCTTTCCATGGATTATCTATACCATAAATTAAATCTCGACAGACTAAAGCACCAATTGTTTGATTTGTCATTCCTAAAACATAATATTTATAGAAAACAAATCATTGTAACATCATTTATATTACCTGTGCCTGAATCGCCCGTGATTATATAAATGTTTTTATCACCAGGATTCAAACCCAAAAATGGTAAACAATCCATTGGCTCTGTGACTTGGCCAGACTATTCAAATATAAAAAAATATGAAGATGAACAAGAATTAGGCATACATCGATTATTTTAACGGAACGCTCATGGGTAGTAGTCTTTAAAAGTCGAAAAAAACTTTTTAAAATTATTTTGAATCCGTAGTTTTGTGCACAAATGTTTGCTCTACCAGGAAAGATGTCGCAGACTTTCTCACGATATTTCGTCGATGAGATATGAACTTTTTGTCTGAAAAACGGACAGTCAATAACTGGTCTGTTATTTGACAGAGCAATATTTGCGCACAAAACTACCGACTCGAAACAATTTTAAAAAGTTTTTTCGATTTCTAAAACCAGTGCTCGCGAGAGTCCCAATAAAATAGGTGTCGCACGGTCAGCAAGCAGAGACGGATGAGTCCGGACTGGAAGGTTTTTTGGAGGGCTTGGACTCGAAATTGAGTTTTTGTATTTCGAGTCCCATCAAGTCGACTTTTAACATACATAAACACTAAATTTTTTTGTTTAGCAATTCAACAAAAAGAAAACAATTGCTTCCGCATTTAACTCATCCTTCTTCATCAAAAAAGAATGAAAACTGAAATAACAATAACTTCTGTTTTACAAGAAATCGAAAATTTTATGCAGAAGACAGGCATGCAGAGTAATCTTATTTTCGAAAAATTGAATATCTATCCAGGTCTCAGTAAATTAGTTAGAAAACTCTTATATATTCCAGCTAAATCGGTACCCATTGAGGATATTTTTCTCAATCAGAATTTTTGATTAGACGTGAAAGAGCACGTTTTACGAAAACAAAATCTACCTTAACTGGTAATATTAAAATGTAATAGAAGTTTACTTTAGTAAGTTTTTCTGTTTCAACAAGATTGATGTGTTAAATGGCACAGAATAAAAAAGAGAAATAAACCACAACTATCAAAACAGAATCTAAAAGATTACCGGACTCGAAATCGACTCGGACTTGGTCCTTACGCGAAAACTTATCGAAGTGATACCTTCCGATTTCGTTTGCCCATAGGTCGATCGATAGAGGGTATCGAACTACAAATGGACAGACCGCTGGTTGCTTTTTGAATAACTTTTGATAGGAATGAGATAGAGACCTGCGATTTTCGCTGTTAAATAGCCAAGACTTGAGCAGAACTTTTCACAAGCGGAAGGAACTTTTGAAAAATTTCCAGAGATCGGGTTTTCAGAGGATCTTTGGAAAACCAGCTCCGTTCTCAGAAAGCTAACATACAATGTTAGTAATTCTTTTGCATGCGTAGATAGTTCGGACGTTACTCTACAAAATTATGCAAGTCCCGGCTCTCTAGCTATCGTCGTTCGGGCAGGGCTCGCTTTCCCCGAGTACGTGTCTATCTCC